AGAGAGGAAGTACCACTTCCCTTCATTTGGAAGTGACACTCATGTTAATACTATCCACTAGGCTGTTGGCTTTTTTTTTTCCCCAACAAGAGCATGCTGTTGGCTTGTATTCCGCTTATGGTTCACCATAACCCATGTCTATTTCTGGAGTGCCACAACCTAGCTAGTGATTCCCCAGTCTGTATTTGTGTATGTAGTTATTCTGTCCCAAATGCAAGACTTGGCACTTGTCCTTGTTGAATCTCATCTCATTGACTGCAGACCATTTCCACACATTTGCTAAATGTGCACCTGAGCCCATCATCCAAATCATTAATGAAAATGTTGAACAATACCAAACTCAGGACAGACCCCTGAAGAACCCAACTTGATACCTCATCCCAACTAGACACTGAGGATTGCTCAGAGTATCATGATCCAACCAGTTATGTATTTGTTAGGAAACCAGTATATGGGTAGCCTTCCCTAGTGGCAGCCAAGATCAGTTCCCCAGAAAGCAAGAGGTATGGAGGGGTCTGGCATCAGAACTGGAGTTGGGAACAGTAGCCAAAGTCAGAACAGGCCAGGGTCAGAAGTCAAAATCAGAAAATCAACAAAGAAGTGCAAGAAAGGTCAGGTGCAAGAACTTTTGCCTTCCCCTGTACAAGGCTGGGCCTGACTTTTAAGGGCTGGAGTAAGTGGGGCCTGATGCCTGCGGTTTTAGGGGACTGAGTCTCTGATTGCTTCACTCAGTCCAGCTGGGATCAGGGCTCAGTTCTGGGCTTGCTGCAGGTAGCACCTGGTCAAGGGAAGACTTTCCTTGATGTCGTGATTGGGACCAACTAGGTCCAAGATTCTGGTCTGGCCTCATTAGAGTATGCACATAATAGTAATTTCATCCAGTCTGTATTTGCTTGGCTTGCAAATGAGAATGTCAAGGGAGCTTGTGTCAAAAGCATTGCTAAACTCAAGTTCACTGCTATCCCCTCAGTTACAGAGCCTATCACTTTATCATCTAAGGAAATCAGATTGGCCAGGCATGACTGGCTTTTGGTGAACCCACGATGACTGTTCCTGATTACCTGGTTCTCCTCTAGGTGCTTCACACTGGGTTCCTTGAAAGCCTGCTCTAAGATCTTTCCAGGTACAGAGGTGAGACTGACTGGTCTCTCGTTCCTTGGATGCTCCTTCTTAAAGCTATATGCTATATTTGCCTTTTTTCTAGTCATCTGGGACCTCACACAACCTCCAAGATCATTCTAACATAGCAACTCATAAGTGAGCAAATAAGTTTTGCCCACATTTTTAAAACTGCATTTTTTCACCTAAACCAGAAGCCGGTAAAACTATTATTTTCTCTTTTCTTTTCTATTTTTTTTTTTTTTTGCTAAAGATTTTTAGAAATCTATTAATATATGAGAATAAGGTACTCTAATTGAAATTACAATGTAATCTTAGCTATAGTCTCTAACACTAATGAAATCTATATCAGTGTTCATGTGTATTATGTATAAAAATGACTGCAGTTCAGATTAAAAGGCATGTAATACAACATCAAGGCACATATTATCTGCATTGTATTATAGATCTTGCATCTAAAGGTAAAGATGTACTAATTTTTCATCACATAGCAATCTCAAAGTTTCCATTAGGAGTAATACATTTATATAAAAAATGGATACACTGTTTCCTTTATTTTCCAATATTTATTTGTATTGATGTAGTGCCAAGGAGCCCTAGTCATGCATAGGATCTTATGGTCTTAGATGCTAAATAGGCTCAGGGGAAAAAAAAAGGAGAGAGAGAGAGAGAGAGAGATTGTCATAGTCCTACAAGCTTTACCTATAAAACAAGACACAACGGATGGTATTAACAAAGTGGACACCTTCAACTGAGGAAAGCCAAATGTAACAAAAAAAATCTTGTTTTCAGGCAGCATTAATTTCTGATGTATAAATGGACAAAAGTATAAATAATCAGGAAGCAGTCAAGATTCCTAGAATGGTATATCTATTTCAAGTAAACATTTCATTTCAACATATCACTTTCATGACAATAAAAGCTGATTATAGAGTTAGAACTCTGGAAAAAAAAGAATAAAATGTCATGGGGGCAACTCCTCACTAGTTAAAAATGGATACAACCCCACTGAAGTCAATGAAGCTGTATACATCTACAGTACATCAGGTGAGTCACTCCCTCATAGAGGTAGTCAGTCAGCTGAGAACATCTCAACATGGTACCTCCCAACAGGTGTCATTAATTCAAATACAAAGTTTCATTTGTTTTGTTCTCAGTCTTAAATTACCATGTCCTTGTTCTTCAAAGAGAAGAAAAATGACTCTAGGCTTGAGAACCCAGAGGGACAATAAGGCCATCAATTAAAATGGGATTAAGCTTTTATTTTCACTGTATCAGCTGAAACACTGAGTTTCATTTTCCTTCAGTCTAGAGGCATTTCTGACTATTAAGTTTTCAGAACACCATGCTGAGCAAAATGGATTCAGTTTTTCTACTATTTGGATGGATACATTTACTTGTCTTCTGACAAAAAAGATCAAAACTGTAGCAAATGCAATAAAAACAATTTCTGACATGATGCTAGTTTCCTCTCCTGACACTTTGGAAAAGCAAAAATGTTTCAATATTTTTTTACAACTTAATTCCAAAATTATTATTTTTCTAAAGGAAATAAATGACTTTTTATGGCCCTATAATATTGCTGGTATAGGATGTCATTAATAGTGCTCCTAATTTTATGTCTTCCAGTGTTCACAACGGCAACTTTTAAACAGTAGTTAATAGTTACATTATACTCAGACAACATATGAATTGATGTCTAGTGGATATTCTGATTTTCTATAGAGAGTTAAAAAAATAAACAACATTTCTATTTTTCACAACAGTGAGAATCTGGAAGCTTTTCCTGACAGTCCGTCAAAATTCATTGGCTTAAGTTCATCACATCATTTCCTTCTTAGATTTTCTTTTATCCCTCCAAATCAGTAGTTCTCAACCTTTTTTGCCTCAGCCCCATAACTTTTCTGAATGTCCACCCAGTTGAGAATCACTGAGCTAGAATCTAAAATAAAAAAAGATACAAAAGGAGGCCTTAATGCTAAAAAGGTTGAGAACAGATTTAGCTGGTGCCAGGTAAGGGTGATGGAGACAGGACCTAACACTGCTGTGTGCTGCTCTTTCCACTCTTTTCCTCTCCCTGCAACCAGTTTGTACCTGAGGACATAAGGGCAGCCCTCACCACCAAAGCTACTCCTTCAGGATTTCGTATACTGGGTACCATCCCTGTAGCCCTCTCTCACCATCCCTTGTAGTGTCAGAGGAGCAGGGGATGAGCTGGGCTATAAAGCACAGCTGTGGCCCCACAATCACCCATCCATCCACCTACAGCAGAGTGTGCTGCTGGGAGCATAAGACAACTGGCAGAAGGATTGTCAGGGAGGAGGGGAGGGCAGCAACAGTTGCAGTCTTCAGGGTAGCAGCCACAGATGTCACTTGGGTAGCTAAGGCAGGTTCAGGGTTTCAGACAGACAGCAGGAGAGCACTTACCTTCTCTCACAGAGGCTGGGTGGTACAGCAGCCCTAAAGGGATCTTGCAGCATGCTGGATGCAAATCCCTGCTCTAAATCATTATTTTCTTTGCTACAGGCCAGATTTGGCTAGCATTAAAAGAATCTTAAAGCTCGCCTTATTGGAAAGGTGAGAATTTTCCCAATGTAAACTAGCACAAGCTCTATGCCCCCTGAGCACAGGACATGCAAAGAACATGAGGAGTTGGGCATATATGACATAAGCTCCATTTCAGCAATAAACAGCTGTCAGGGTATATTTCTAACAGCATTAACTTGGAACAACCCCAAGGCAGCAGTAATTATTCAAAGATGGAGGTGCAGGCAAAACCCCCTTACTGCCTAAAAGTCAGACGCCTTGTTTTGACTTCTTACACAAAGCACAGATCTGATCCTGCTTATACCAACTCATACAGCACATTTGTGCTTCTTTGACTTCATTTACCCATCCTAGACCACTTCTCTTTCTGTGTCATGCATCCTCACGTGCCACTTCCTCAAAAACTATTTCTCCTGGTTTTTCCCTGCTATGGTATTTATCTTTTATTACAGGATAAACTCAGTGTTAAAATCTTACAAAGCAAGGCAGAAACAAATGACAAATTTTCCAAATTAAACAATCAAGCCTTTCTTTTCCATCAGTGCCTAATTTAAAAGCCTACTTCCTTAGTGCTCTCAATTTTGAAGCTAGTAGGTTGCCACCCTTCTGCTTATGTGGACCCAATCTAATCCAAATAAAAAAAAGACACAAAACTGCAAAGTTCAGTGAATCTACTTCACTTCTCTTTACCACAATAATCTATGCATCTATTGGGAACCAATCTTAGACTTCTTCTTTTCATGCTGCCATAAGGGGAATCCCTAGAAAAGCCACATACATTAACCCATATCCAGTCCCTAAAGTGGTAGTTGCTTATGTCCAACCCAGAAACCTCCACAATCTTCATCATTAAGTGTGATGTTTGGCTAATTTATATAGCAGAAGTGCCATCCAACATTCATAAAAGCAGAAATTGACTTATCTCTTGACCTGAAAGCTGGGGTTGATAACAGAGATACCATGCACAAGGGCAGGTTGTTGTGAAGAAAGTTGTTTCGGAACAAGAAAAAAAAGGAGTAAGAGGAATAATGACATGACATGAAATGGAAAGAATTGAAACTCGCATATCAATGTGCAGACAAAAGGCTTGGACATTAATATCCAGGGCACATATTTTAAAAACACAGCATAGGATTCTTATCTTGGACTGTACAGCTACAAAAATGAGAAAATCATTTAAAAAATGTGTCTCAAGGCTAATTTAAAAACAGTCTTTCCTTCTTGCATAAATTTAACTGTATACTGTTAACAGCTCTGTTTATTATAGTTAAGTGATTATATAAAAAGGTAACATTAATATGTATTTGCATTGGAGATTTTTACCAAAAGGATATTTTTTCAGCATGTACAGAGTAGCCAGTCTTGAAGCTCGGAAGTTCGCTCTGACAGATCTGTAAACAGCTTTCTGAAGACCAATGAGATGCTGACTAGGATGCTGTCCAGCTTTATTAAATGGGCAAGCAGCACTGACCCTGTCAAGCAAACTTGAAAAGTAAAATGTGATACAACTGTACAGATGTCCTAAAGAAATTTTAAAAGACAGTACATCAATTCTATATTTATACTCCATTATTTCCAAAAGAAAATAATTTTTAATAATGAGCCAAAAGATATAAGTTAAGCAATGGTTTACTATGCAAATGATCCATTTATTTAAAAAAATATATGCAACAATGGTTGAAAACTCAGTAAAGAGCCTGATCCTGTTCCCATTTGAGTTAATGGCAAAATTCCTATGAACATCCACAGTAGACTATCAGGTGTTAGGACATGCTGTAAAGTCAATTAACTCTAATTTGAACATAAATCAGAAGTTCACTGTAGTTTTAAATATTGCACTCATACAATTTAACATGCAAAATATTTCTTAGCTTCTAAGAATATTTTTTGCAGAAAGGATATGCTACTACACATTTCTTATTAAATAAATGTTTTTCTCCAATCTTCCAGCCTGAAACTAATCTTTTCTAGCTTGATAAGTATATGTATATTTGAGTAGCAGGACAGGGATTTTATCATACAAACAACAGTTGCAGAAGTTCTCATGGCACTATCATTGCTAGGAATCCCAAGCGTGGCACAGTTTCTGAAATGTATGCAATTACGTATACTAGCATATTCTTAAACACATTTGTTCTCAAGATACACACAAGCACATTTTTGTGGAATTACTTTGTGTCACATGCTTATGGCGAACACATTGCAGCAGGGCTTTAAACAGCGGCGGGCAATTATTTTCGGCAGAGGGCCACTTACCAAGTTTTGGGAAGCTGTCGAGGGCCGCGTGGGTAGCCCCACCCCTTGACAGTTGCCCCGGCCCCGGTTGCCATATTGGGACCGGAAGTCAGACTTCCTAGCCCCTGACCTTTGCCATTGGAAGTCCCTCCCCTTGCCCTGGAAGTACTCCTTTTGGAGGAAAGGTGCTGTGATCTGGAAACTATGAAAAACATACATATATGTATACACCCACTCTCACACACACACACAAAACATCTACTACAACCTATTTTAATTTTATATAAAAATATTGTTCTACTGATTTATGTGTTTACAAAAAGTGTGTCTAGAGGTGGTTGCATAATAGCTTAAAATATAGTCCTACTGTGTGTTTTGTGTGGGCAGCAAAGGGTATAAGAAGTGGTGTGGTTGGGAAGAGTGTGTGCGAGTTTGTGTGTGTGCGCGCGTGCGGTGGGGTGTGGGTATGGTGGCTGGGTGTGTGCTCGGAGAGAGAGCCAGGGCTGGGCTGCCAGCTTCATAGTGTACAGCTCTAACACACTGCATGTGAGCTTGACACGATGCAGCCAGGCAGACCCAATGCCCAGCCTCTGTTTCTATAACCCCACCCAGGGTCTCTGCCAGCCTCAGGGCACTTGCACAGGCTCCGTGTTTCCACCCGCCACCACCATTCCCTACATTCCCTCCTGCAGGCTTGCCCACTGCTCCCTTCAGCCTCCCGCTTCCTGTAGTGCTCCCTGTGGCCCCTGCCGGGGCCCACAGCCTGCCGCAGCCCCACTGTGACTCCACTGCCCACTGCAGCCCCACCACTCACCATGGCTCCGCCATCTGTCGGAGCCCCCCGCAGCTATGCTGCTCACTGGGGTCCACAGTGCCAGAGCTGCCGCTGCCCACTGGGTCCCGTTGGGGCCCAGCCACAGCTCTGCCACCCACTGGGGCCCGCCTCCTGATGTGGCTCTGCTGCCTCCTGGGGCCTGCTGCCTCTGCACTGCCCATTGGGGACCAGCTGCGGCTCTGCTGCCTGTCGGGGCCTGCTGTGCCACCTTCAGGGGCCTGCCGTTGCCTCACTGGGGCTCTGCCACCTACCAGGCCCCGCTGTGGCTCTGCTGCCCACTGGCTCCTGCTGCTCGCTGGGGCCTGGCTACGGCTCTGCCACCTGCTGGGGCCCACCACCTGCTACTGCTCCACCATCCACTGCAAACCCACCAACTGCCAGGGCCCACAACGTTTCTGTTGCCCACCGTGGCTCCACTGCCTCCCGGGGCCCACTGCAGCCCTGCCACCTGATGGGGCTTGGCCATGGCTCTGCCACCTGTCGGGACTCACTGTACTGCTTGTGGGGGCCTGTTGCAGCCCCGCTACCTGCTGGGGACTACTGTAGCTCCGCTGCCCACTGTGGCTCCACCACTTGTTGTGCACCATGTGGGTCCCGCCACTCCCTGCAGCTGCCACCGCACCACTCCCTGCAGCCCCCACCACTCCCCGCAACCACCACTTCCAGCTACTCTTACCTCATTTTCCACTCGGAGCGAGGGGGAACAGCTCCAGGGGCAGGGGCCAGAAGCCGCAGAGGTTTCTGGTTGGGGGCTGAGGGAGGGAAGGGGCTGAGGGGTTGGGTGGAGCCGGGCTAGCCTTGTTGCTCAGCCACAGGCTCCTGCTGGGTCCTGTTCCCGCTGGTCACCTGTCATCTTTGACAGGCGGCCACAGGCAGATATAAATTAATTTTCTAAAATTTTCAAAGGCTCTGTGGGCCAGATAGAACAGGCTGGCGGGCCGCATCCAGCCTGCAGGCTGTATTTTGCCCACCCCGGCTTTAAATGTCACTATTAAAATTGCTATGTAAATAAACTGATGGGCAGTTGGGCAGATTTAAATATTTGTATATAAAATTAATCTGATAAAAGCAGAAGTTTACTACTTACTTGTCTTTTGTGAGTGTACAGCCTTGAATATCACTTAATGTGAAAGGCATTTATTCAAAGACATATTGAAGATACTAGCTGTAACTTCATATCATATTAAAATATACCAGTAATAGCTAAACATGTTCAAATAAAATCTCATTTAGGTGCAATATTATTATGGTAAAAATTGTAAGAGATGCAATACAAATGGCACTAGCGCCTATTTAAAATAATATTAAAAAATGTTAGTCATGTCCTGTAATATTCTCACAGAAATACTGAATTTAACATGTTATATGTTCACTCTTACAATGTCCAAGACTATTTGCACTTAAGCGTTATCATTTATGGATGATTTCTCATGTCAGTCTTTTATACTTAAGTCCATGCACTTGAATGACTTTTAGAAAGCATATCTGGAGAAGGTGAAAAGTACAGTGGTTGTGCTTATATTAAGAAAGAAAACTCTACTATAGGGCATCCTCTCATCACTCATACACTGAACATACTGCCAGCACACTACAAACCTGGCTTATTTTGCAGTTTGTGACATTTGTTTCAGTGTTCGATGTTAAATCTGAGCAGTTTATATAAGTTTGATGGCTACTCCTTACTTTCTTCTTCAGAAACATCAACCCAGTCTTATTTTCTTGTTTTCTAACTAGAGGAGCAGCACCCCTCTGATCTTTATATTCTGTCAACAATCTATTAAATGTTACTGGACTATCTTGAGTATCAGGAGTAAAAGGAAAGAAAAAAAAAAGATGGAGGAAGAAATCAGTACAGCACCAAAATCCATCTTGACTGTAAAGAATTGAAAAACAATGCTCTCTCACACTCACAAGCTTCATTTTAAATAGGCTCTCAGCATCTCAGGTGTATATTATCTCATATTAATAAACCTGGTTACTGCTTACCACAGGGGTGGGCAATTATTTCAGGCAGAGAGCCACTTCCCCAGTTTTGGCAGGCTGTCGAGGGCCGCATGGGTAGCCCTGCCCCTTGACAGGTGCCCCGCCCCTTGACAGGTACCCAGCCCCCTGGTCACCATCTTGGGACCAATGTCCCAGGGCCAGTACCGGCGGGGCCCAAAGTGGGGCGCAGGCTGGAAGGGGTCCAAGGAGCTTGGCTGGGCTGCACCAGCAGGGAGAAGGGGGAGCTGGCCCGGCTCCTGCCAGCTGGGACCCAGCACTCCTGCCACCCTGCTCTAGGCCCCACCGGCACTGACCCCGGGACAACAGTGCGGGCCCCCTGTGCTCTCACTTCCTCCCTGCCCACTCACACCCAGTGCCCCCCAGCCCCGCGGTACAGGCTGGGGGCAGCGAACAGCCCTGACCCCCAACTTGCCAGCAGGGAAGGAGCTGGTGCTGAGCATGGGGAAAAGTGGCCCCTTGCCCACCCTATGGCCGGCGCTTCCTGCTGCAGGCGCTCGCAGCCTGAGTGGGGCTGTCCTGAGCAGGCACAGGCAGTCCCAGGCTGGCTGCAAGCGGCTGCAGCATGGGGCTCTGGGCACGGGATGGGAGGGGGAAGCAGCCCCTCGTCCACCCCATGACCGGTGCCCCACGCTGCAGCCACTTGCAGCCGGCCTGGGGCTGCCTATGTCTGCTCCGGACAGCCCCGCGTGGGCTGCGAGTGCCTGCAGCAGGGAGCACCGGTCATGGGGCAGGTGAAGGGCTGCTTTTCTCCGCGCAGGGAAGGAGCCCAGGGAAAAGCTGAGCGTGGGGGGGAAAGCGCCCCCTCCCCTGCCCTATGGCCAGCGCTTCCCCCCCACCCCACGCTCCTTCCCTGCCCGGGCCCCCCAACCTTCTCCCCAGCCCCCCCACTTACCACGGTTCTGGCGCCGGGCAGCCACGTGCTCCCAGGCCAGAAGCCCCAGCTCAGGCTTCTGGCTGGGGGTGCGGGGCCAGGTGGTTATTGGAGCCTGCCGGGCTTCCCCTGGGTCCTACTGCCCTTGGTTCCTGTCATTTCTGACATTAAATTTTCTAAATTTTTTAGGGGCCAGATAGAATGGCCTCATGGGCCAAATTCGGCCCGCGGGCCATATTTTGCCCACCCCTGGCTTACCAGCACAATCGTAGTTTTCAAAAGGACTCAGTTGAGCCAATATGCACTAGACAACAATTTGAAATATGCAGGGACAAAAGCATTATCAGGAAAAAAATGAATTTACTTGGTTGTCATGTCAATAAAGACCTTGCTAAAAATCACAAAATTTCACTATATATTTCTGTAATTTTTTAATTTTCTAATGGTCAGGGCAATGGAAGCATTTTCACTGGCTAGTAGGAATTCAAAGCAGTGACCTTTGGTTGAGATTCACTATCTTACAAACAAAACAAAACAAAAACAAACACAAACAAAAAAGATATATCCAACACCTAACTGGCTTGAAAAATTAGGGTATTGGCAGTATTTCTTATCATAATTTCTAGTTGATGTAGAATAAACCGATGCATTTGACAGTACTTAAGGGAGAAGGTTTTAATTTCTGCTTAAAAGGCAGACATGATGTTCTGGTGGAAGAGGAGGGCATGAAGTGAGAGGATATATTTACAAAATAAAAAACCCAACAGCCAAGACAATGAAAAAATGACCAAAATGTTGTCTCCAAAAGATCTTAGCACTTACTATGTGACACAGAAGTACCCCTCTATCAATTTACAGGAAGAATTTAGGGCCTGCCTGAAATCAGAGGCAAAATTACTAAGTTTCAGAAACAGAAACATGACACAGGAAGACTTTCCTTAACATCTGAGGTGTGACCATTAACATCTGACTTGCCTTAACTAAGCAGATTAAGAAGATTTAATATTATTACCATAGGGACATATTAGGCTTCCTTCTTCCAAGGTCTATAAGCTGGGGACTATGTAACAGGTCAAAGCAAAGGCTGTGGGCAGTCAATATGACCCACGCAGCCCAATATGCCGTCTCAAGCATATAAGTTTCTGGCTCTCTCAGTACAGCATTGTATACATATTAAGATGCTGAGAAAATCATTACCGAATTAGGAAATGTTTTTTGGGGTTGTTTTTTTTTGTTTGTTTTTTTAGAAAGGGAGAGAGAGGTTACAGATTTGCTCATTTTGAACCATGACTTCAGTGTTCGTTTTGCATTGGCACATTTACCTGTCCCCTACCAATACAAACCCTAACATCCTCTTGAAAAGGTTACTGAATTATTTAATAAAAGGGTCATCAGATGAAAAGTCAAACTGAGGCCCATTTTATTTAATTGTGCCAGCTTTAAGATACGTAGTTAAAGAATCAGACGTTGACTATTTAATCAGTCAGGCCACAAGTTCATTTGCTGGAAATTAAAAATACAATTCAATGTTTTTCTCAACTGTAAACTGGGCAAGTACTAACAGTAAATTCTTTTTAAGTATCTGTTTCTGAAGCTAAGATTGAATATTGCCTAACTGTATGCTGTCTCAACAAAAATATACGTAGGCTGACTTAAGACATGCTTAAACATTCCAGAAAGAGAATAAAATATTTCTTCAGCAAAGCATAAATGCAGGGATCTCATTATCTATCTTTGGGAAATTCATAATGTATTACAGGTACAAAATATGTACAGTACAGTTTCAGCTTTTCATGTTGCAGCATGTGCTCATGAGCAGAGCAGTTGATCTAGTAGAAATAGGAATAATCTCTATAAATACAGACAAAAGTCTTGCATGCACACTGGAGCACATTACCAAGTCAGAAATGTACAGAGAACCAATAAATGGAAAGGAAACAAAAAGGGTACTTTATTGGGTTTAAAAAGAAACCAACTAGATTTGTTTGGCATTATCTTCCTCTTCCCACCTGAAGTCCTACTAGCATGTATATATTTTATAACAATGTCTTACTAGAACTTACAGAGATTAGAAACAATAGGAGGAAAGGAAAATGCATGGGCATGTGCATGCTGGCTTCTAGGTCAGTGCGTATGCCAAGTATGCCATAAAATTAAATCTTGCAGGAAGTAAAACCACCAGCAGCCAATTTAATTGCAAAAGCCAAATAACTAAGAACAAGGTATCATATTCCTTAAGTGGAAAAATGGATTATCTTGGCAAATAATTCTTGGTTAAAGCATCCGTAATGCAACACATGTGAAAAAATGTTTTAAACCTAAAAAAAGATAGATGACCATCTCCTTTTGTTATTTCTCATCATGTGACCTGAGATTGTTACATGCCAGACAAGTCAAATTAAACTTCCAAATAAACGTGTATAATAAAATACTAGTTGTTACCTGTAGTGCAGGTAAAGTTAGAAATTTCCCTGGCAATTTAAAATGTAAAAACGCATTCACCAAATACTAAAACAAAATATAAAATAAAAACAACGTGGCCTTTCACGACTGATAACTAGAGTCGCTTGGAGCTTCTTTGTTTCTCTCGCTTTCCCCATTTATATCATTCTGAATGTAGGAAGAGATATTCAGCGGCACCAACCTTAGTTAAGTGCCCACCTTCCAGACTTCTTGGGCATTTGAAAATCTTCATCATAATGTACAATTTTAACATATGGCTGTTAGATATTGGACACCTGGAACATTATAATGGCAATTATATTATTTTGTTTGTCCAAATTAAAATCTTAACTAAAACTATTTGGGTTGGTCTAATAAAAGATATCAAGTTCACCCAAGGAACCTTGTCTGCCTATGTCCTTAGACCAACACGACTACAGCCTAAACCCCTGTAACTAAAACTATAACACTTCTCAATTTTGCCTGCCAAGGGAAACAGTATTATAAAATTATTTTAATACCTAACTGGATTGAATGAATCCATATAAAAAAAAAAAAAAACAAACAACAAAATATAGACTCACAGGGTAAATCCTCTGGAAATAACTTCAGTCTCCTGAATGAGTCGCAGAGCTTTTCTCACAAGATTAGTGAAAGCTCGGCTGTTTGCCACTGTCTCTTCCAGCTGGAGACTGTATTTTCGCAGGGCCATTTGCAGTTTCGCTGTCCTCCAAGTGCTCCACACTCGTATGACCATATAGACTGAAAGAATGAGTCCCCACTCCAGCCAAAATGATGAACTCCACCAAGAAGGAAGCACAATAAATGCACTGACAAAGACAAGCAGCAATGAGACATCCCTGAAAACAGAAGAACAGAGAAAGTGCCATCTATCATAGATTCCTGAGGTTAAACAATTGGGAAAATCATGAGGCTCTTGACTACAAGTGTTTACATGGGGCAAGGTGGTCATGTTGGAGGGGAGGGACAAAATCCAGCTAGAACCAGACAGGTTACAGAGGTGGGCGGATGACAATAGGATAGAATTCAACACAGATAAGTGCAAGGTACTGCATCTAGGGAGAAGGAACCAGCAACACACCTATATGCTGGGGAACACCCTTCTTGTCAACATGGTGGCAGAAAGGGATCTTGGAGTCATTGTTGACTTCAGGATGAACATGAGCCACCAATGCGAGGAAGCAGTTAGTAAGGCTAACTGCACCTTGTGATGCATCTACAGATGCATCACAAGCAGGTCCAAGGAGGTGATTCTACCCCTTTATGTGACGCTGGTCAGGCCGCAGTTGGAGTACTGCCTCCAGTTCTGGGCACCGCACCTCAAGAGGGATGTGGCTAGCATTGAGAGGGTCCAGAGGAAGGCCACTTGCATGGTCAAGGGGCAGCAGGGCAGGCCCTACGAAACAGGCTAAAGGGCCTGAACCTATCCATCCTCCACAAGGCTCTGTTTCCCTCGGCACCACCCGGGGTTAATAGCAATAACAGCCACAAATTGTTAGAGAGAAGGTTCTGGCTGGACATCAGGAGACATTACTTTACAGTTAGGGCTGCCAGGCTCTGGAATGGGCTCCCGAGTGAGGTGGTACTCTCTCCTACCTTGGGAGTCTTCAAGAGAAGGCTGGACAGATATTTGGCTGGGGTGACATGATCCCGGCACCCGTTCTGGCCCAGGACAGGGGGTCAGACCTGATGATCTGTTTAGGTCCCTTCCGACCCCAAGTACTATGATTTCATTAAAGACCTTTTACATGGGCTCTGAGGACAGGTGTAAACAGGGACAAGATCACTAAATGGCAGATTTAGATTTGAGGGGTTTTTTGCACAAATTTATTTTGTCTGTAGAACTAAGAAATGTAAGTGGAAAAATAACACATCATTTTGAAGGGTTAATATTTTAAACCTGATTTAGAAATAAGTGATTGTTCAGTATTAAGAGAAAGGATGGGTGGGAATTGTAATATCTGTACTTTCAGGTTCAACAGGACAGAGGGAAGGGCATTTTTCTTTAGGTAACCAAACCCTCAAAATAATGATAGCTTTATTGTTGCAGATTCTGACTCATTTAAACTGGACACTATACACTGAAAAGTCTTAACAAGTCCTGGATATGTAAAACATTTTATGCAACCATGACATTTTTTTTTTAATTACATGGAGAGCAGTGTCTGAAGCCTCACTTCAAGTACATCCCAAATCAATTTTTGAATTCTGTAAAATTGCCATTTTCCTACAAAGTTTTGGCAGAAGTATGAATCTCCATTAGAAAAACACAATGTGAGCTTTTGGAATTTTGTAATATTATAAATAGTTCAAGCTCCAAAATCACTTCTAAGTATTTATTAGAGCTGGCCAGAAAATGGACCTCAATTTCTGCAAAATGTTGTAAGGTTTTAGATTTTTTCTCCCAGAATGGGATGTGAGCTATAGTTCGTTTCAGAAACACGTGCTGGGAAAGTTTTGGTGTTTCCAAAAGAAATATGACCTTCAAACTCCTAGTTCCTTGGCAGTTGGGAGCCTGGAAATCCTAGGTTCACTGAAGCCCATCCAGTAAGCAGCTGACAAGCCAGAGAAGATGGGAGCCAAAAGACATGAGCTCCCCAGCATGCAGGCTGCTTATCTGCATACAAAGCAGATTTAAATTCCTTAAATTTTTTTTCCCCCCCAACTATTTAAGTTGGTCTAATAAAAGATATCAGATTCACCCAAAGAACCTTGTCTGCCTATGTCCTTAGACCAACACGGCTACAACCTACACCCCTGAAACATGCAAGTGTTCATTTAATTTCTACTGGGAGAAACATGCTCCTCTTAGGAGAAAGATCTTCCAGGTGTCAATTCAGATCTCCCCTGCAAGAGAAACTCTCTTGTATGCTCCCCTCCCTCTCTGGCCTGGGAGGAGACTGGAACAGCAGGTCAAAGCTCCCCTCCACTGCAGTCAAGTAGGATTGGGCCCCAGCTGGGCCATTCCCACATAGATGCATCATGCCCCAGCCCCAGGCAGCTGCACTAGACCCCATGCAGTCCAGCACTGCATACTGGAAAGGATCCATGGGCCGATTCTGGCCTACAGATAGACCTGGCACTGCTTAAAATTTGAGCACCACTGCTGTAGGGGCCTAATTTAAAATACACCATTTAACATAAAGGATTTCCTTTGACTCTTGACCAATCTTCAACCAATGCTTTCACCTAAAAAGCCTAAAAAGGGGCTTTTCAGAGTGTTCAAGGAATTAATAAGCCTAGATCTGGCAGACCAAAGGGGAGTCAAGATGCAGAAGTCAAGAACTTTAAAAAAGATTTTTTTGTGATGTCTGTCACACTAAGAGCAGGCTGATAGTATCCCCTGACAGTATGTGTAAGTAGTCATAGGCGTTTTCTGAATTGTACCAAATATTAGGAGTTGCTAGGGAGCGTAGAGTTGGAAGGTGTCCATTTTCCTGTTGCTTGCTCTGCCCTCCAGACAGGATACTGGGGTCGAGCAGCTCAATTAGTTCCACATCCTCCTGTAGCAGAACTTCCTGTTGCAGGATAGTCCGGAGTGCATCAAGTCGAAATCCAACATCCTTACCAGAAATGGGCAAGAGAAATAAGAGGGAACAGACACTCTTTAAGATTTATTTTTTTGAAAGAAAAACAAACACACACCTTTTTTTTCCACCAGGATTTTAGAAACAGCTCAACTGGCTATCCCAGTCTCTTTAACTGTCTTCCCTTCTAAAACCTCTTCTGCCATCTGAATAGTCTGATTTTGCAAGATGCATTGCACTGATTTTGTGTACTGGCCTTAAACATAGAAAATGTGGCTGAATTGGAAATATGCCACAGGTAGTATTTTCACAGTAATGAGTTAGGCACTAGAAATTATCAGAAGAGAGACTGAAGTTAAACTGCAATCTACAATGTCTTGTTTTAATAAACAAATTAAAGAGATTTAGATGGTGATGTACACATCAGTTAGTTTTAAAAAATGGCTGTAGACCAGCTGACAATGACAGGGTCAATATGTTGGAATCAGATTTCTTCACCCAGAGCACTGGGATGCTCCAGGAGAGAAATGCACAGCTTTTCAAAAGGGAACTTTGTCTGTAAAAAATGAAACAGCATTTTGGGTGGTCCCAGTGATTTAATGCCATTTGTACTTTCTCACCTGTAACCGGAATTTTATGACAAATCTACGTCTATACTACTTACAAAAGTAACTCTAAAATTCTAATTCATACATTGGACTAACTATAATGCCACAAGTTTTACAGTTAAGGTAGTGTTCAGATACAACATAATGAAAATTTAACATCAGTATGTCTCTATGTCAGACTATAAATTCAAAAGGAGAAAATGTTTCTATTTTTCAGTTTCTTCAGTTAGAAACATTAACAAACCTTGAGGATTTTGTCCTTCGCATTAGTAAAAGCTTCCTAGTTTTCAGGCTAATTGGCACAATTTCTTATTGAGAGAGTGGAATTTCCAGGCATCAGGAAACTAGCTAGTCAAAGACCTTAATTCTGAAAATCAATTATACCCTCTATAGCCTAAACCAGGGGCCTACGCAGCCTTTCCCCCCAGCCACCCCACCCCCGCACCCCTGCCCTGCACTGGGTGGTGTAACAGCTGTGAAAGGCCCTGCACCGACCACTGGGGGTGCTGGACAGAGCAAATGGACAGGTGGGATCCCTATGGAGACTGGCCTGGGAGCCCCACAAGCAAGACACAACTGGCCAGGAGCAGCACCCAGGAGCAAAACAGGCAAGCAGGGCCAGGGCTGGGATTGCAGGGTGGTGGCAGTGCAGGGTCAGGGCCTGGGGTGGAGCCACAATCTGCTTCCTGCATGTCCCTGCAATGGGCAACAGTTTGGTTTGGTGGTCAAGCACCAAATCAGTGAAAGAAAAACACAGCAGATCCATCACTTTTCCTTAGCCCCTTATGAACTGCTTCACCATTTGGCATTATGCAGTAGGCCAAAATGGCAAACAAATTTAACTTGCACAGAAGTCTTCTTGTGGTTTAGTATAAAGTCACAGGTGCACTTACCTCCCACAAAAACTTGCAGTGCACAGGACATGACAAGTCTTTTTGGGTGCTTTTGCACTGCAGCTGCCACAAACAAGCTTAGGGGCCACAGCTTGTCACAAATTATAACATAATTCAAGATACAAATGTGGCATAAAGATACTGTTCAACTGCCCTCCGAGTCTGTATGCCATGCTCAGTTACGGCAAGGGGATAATGCATGACCTACATGTTTTTTCAGTTTCCATTATGGAAAAGATGTTTGCTAATCGAGAGACAAATTTGAAGACCCATTCTTGTAAATGAGAAGCAGTCATTTCTGATGTGACAAGTGACTTTATGTCTAAAACCAGATCTAAATTGTCTGGACGCAGTGTATAAGTGATCTAATAGGCTGTCCTTACCTCTTTTTACAGCCAACAAAAAAGACTGGGCAATACATTCACTTTCTTTAGCCTTTAAACAACAATTCTGGTATTTTGACACCCTCCCTTTTGTACCTAGCTAACTTGGCATTGTTCCCCCAAAATGATGTAGCTTCAAACTGTTGAGTTCAAAACATAAACTGATGATTATGTCTGCAAGGATCAGGACTGCTGACTGGCACTGAATGCAACAAAAGAGAGATCATGGAGACGCCGAAGAAAGAGGGGTAGGGGACGTGATGTGAGGCCTGGTGAAGAAAAAAAATAAAATTAATTACTTACCAGACGGTAGAGTATGTCATCTTTTTTCTTACACGGTGAAAAAGGAAACCAGCTTCTAAAGAGTTCAGCTAGCTTTGAGAGGGTGCCTTGCTAAAAAGGAATAGAAAACAACTGCAATTAAAACAACAAACACACAACAATTCCTGTATTTTCTTCTACTGCTATCTGAGTGCCAAGAACCTGAGAGTGAGTGAAAACTATCATCTGGCTGAACTGCTGTGTATGCTTAAAGGGACATCTGCTTCTGCTCATTGAAATTTATGTCTGCATGCAGAATGGACAAAGTCTTCATTAACACTATCTTTTCAGAGTACTATAAATGTTGCATTGTTAAAAGCAAATATAACTAGGATTAATCTGATCTAGGGGCTGAAGCTGCTGCCTGAACCTGAAAGATCCTCTCTATCCTTGAGGTTAAAAATGAACCAAGTAGAATTAAGTAGCAAAGAGCAGGGTTGGGCAATTATTTTGGCTGGATGGCTGCTTAATGAGCTTTAATGAGCTCTCAAGGGCCACAAGGGTAGCCCCGCTCCTTGAGAGGTGCCCCACCCCCAATCACCATCCTGGGACTGGATGTCCTGCCCTAACCCCTGATCTTTGTCACCAGAAGTCCTTCCCCTATCCCCAAAAAGTACTCCTTTTGGGAGATGGGTTTGCCATCTTGGAATTGGAAAAAGAACAAATCATATAATAAAAATCAAATAACTGCTATAACGTATTTTAAATTTATTTTTAAAAATACTTTTGTCACAACTGTGTTTTTGCATAGGGTATATAAAGGCAATTGCATAATCGCTCAAAAAAAAGTCTCACTGTTGTATATTGTGTGGGTGGAGCATGTGGGGTATGGAGGTGGGATTCGTGAGGGGATATGCGCGTTGGTGGGTGTGTGTGTGTGTGTGTGTGTGTGTGTGTGTGTGTGTGTGTGTGTGTATGTGGGGGAAAGTGTGGACGTGTATGTGGGGGATGTGTGGGAGGTACAGGGCCCTCCCCCACATGCCTCCCCCCCATCACACACAGTCCCTGCCACCAGTGGCAGCAGCAGACAGTGGGCCCTTGGAGCATTCACAGCCCATACCAGACAGAGCCCCGCAGCTCTGTTTGAGCCCTGGGACCTGCACATGGTGTCAGGGACGAGTCTGGTTCCATCGCATGGGGCTCCCTGGGGCTCCTATGCAGCTCCCAGGACTTAGCTGGAGCCGCATGCCGCTGAGGGAGTCCCACACAATGGAGCTGGAGGCCTGGCCCCACTCCCTGATGCCACATGCAGCTCTCAGGAATTGGTAGGGCCAAGCTGCCCCAGGTCCACTGTGCAGAGGGCTTCCCACCACTCCCAGTCAAGTCCTACGTGATGGAGCTGGGCTGGCCCTGCACTCCAGGCCCAGGCCCTGTGCTTTTGCCACCCCAGGGTCTGCACTCCCACCACCCCTCCCCGAGCTCCTGCCCAGCTGCAGCTTCCCCCACCATCTGCTGCCCAGAGCACTGCAGCAGGGACAAGAGGAGGAACCACTGGAGGCCAGGGGAGCCGAGTAGTTTCCTGGGTGGCTGCAGCAGCATCAGCATCCTGCCTGGAAGCTGTGCATGCTGGCTGGGACTGAGGCTGGGTTTGGGGCCCTCCCGTGGGCAAGGGTGGGAGTGTGGCCTGCTGTCCTGGCAGGAATGGGTGGAGCTTGACTCCATGAGGAGTACAGCAGGGGCAGTCAGCCTGAGTTGGATACAATTAATTGGTGGGCGCCCATCCACAGGCTGGATGAAATCATCTGGTGGGCCAGATCCAGCCCATGGGCTATATTTTACCCAGCTTTTCTCTAAAAGAAGGGGGATCAGGTGTGTTCTAATGAATACTGAGAGAGAGGTGTTGTGATACTGTGACCACATTTGCAATAACTGTTCAAGAAGCTCCATGTCATAGTAGCATTAGGAATGATACACTCTTATCACTATGCTATATCATATGCAAACTAAGACAGGATTTTAGTTGAGCTGTAAACAAACATAACTTGAACACCTCTAATTAGACAAAGCCTTTCTCTGTCATCATGGATTTTAAATAACAAGTATTCATTTAAAACACGACCCAAAAATATCATAATTAAATGGATGTAGGATCTTGCTTGACCTTGCAACCATTTAATTATAAAAAAATAAAGCTAGATGCTTTCAATACTGTAAACAAAACATGAAGGGATGAAAACTAAAATAAAGTAACCTGTCTACAAAGGGTTAACAATTGCTGGGGAGTAAATGAAGATATTTTCACTGCATTTAGTAGTAAAATGGATATTTAAGTTAGAGTGGATGTTCCTTTGTTCACTACAATTCTAGTGCAATTTATTTATTACTTAAATTTGTGCTTTAAGGACAACTTATTAACTTAAAACTTTCATCTTTTTCTGTTGTCAGTCATTGCTTGTAGACACTTAAATCAATACTAAGGACAATGTTGAACTGCTACCTGCTGACTAATGTAATCTGTTGAGCTATTGACAAAACCAGCTTAACATGCAACATGAGTGATTTTTCAATTTGTGTGTCATATTTTGGTTTTACGGAAAAATGAAAACTTACAAAAACATAAGACAGACATGCCAATGCCTGAAAATACAAAACAAGACAGACAACCCACTGCTTTGGACTACGAACCAGTGGTATGCAGTAACACATTAAATTATTCATGTATCTTGGCATGATGTCTTACAGCTTTTATTCCCACAGGGAGTGCTACTGACAAGTAAAACAGTTTTCATCAACATACAAGTCAGGTCATGTTGCCTTTGATGCCTCTTGAGTATTCTTTTAACTACTTTAGAACAAAGTCATTCACAGACTCTTTGTAAACTGTGTAACAAAATATATACCCCCTCTATTTTTTTACTAGTGACATGGGTGCCTACTGCCTACAGTCCAGCATAGGCATGCTTTCATGTCTGTTCATTTAAATCCAAATAAAATATTTACAGTTTTCTTTTTCTATGGAATGAACTGAAGATGGCAAACTATCACACATTCAGAGTACTTTGCATTAATATAGTGTCTTTCATTCAGATAACAAAGTGAAGCTCTGGATAGATTACTACTACCTACTACCAGAACAGTATCATATTGGAGGTAAAATGTGATGCTGCACTTTAAAAGCGCTCAGCAACATACAAAACAATTCAGGAAAAGAAGTAGAAATTAATTTACATTAGAGGAAATTTAAATGAGCTATAGACCAAGTGTGTTTATCCAAATTAGAATTAAGCCAGAAAACGGGGGATAGAAATCTGGAAAGTGCCTTTGTATTTCAAACAACTAGAGAATCAGGATTTTTTATTTAAATCCCTTCAAAGAATGAATGGACAAGGTGCACTGTGCCCATAAGTTCAATACAAAGGCACGGCCTAGTGTTGACTCAGAAAGAAGAGTAGTAGCATTTATTTTATTTAATATACTATTTCCTGAAGCACCTAGAAATTTACTGGAATCTGAATTTAATCTAGGTACTTACTCATGTACCAGTTTAACCAAGTATTTAAATGTCTGCTGAAAATTAAACATAGGCTGAGTTGGGGCTTTTTACTGTGCTTGACAGAAATATGGGATAAGGCAGCGTTGCCTGCAGATTTTTAATCAACCCAAAAAAAAATTTTTTTCTCCCCCTCATGAGTCACCTTTTCTAGATACCTGTTTTTGGGAGAATCTATCCTACCAGCTCACATTAGATCAGTGCTTCCATCTGATTGAATAGCACAGGAGAGAAATTCTTAACTCTTAGTTCTTTTCTACTGGGCTCAATAATACTATAGTTTTTGAAAGGGATCTTTCCCCTTTGTTGATCAGCCAGACAGGTGGCAGTATTTTGCAGAGAGTGCTGTTGTCCTCCCCGTGAAGAATTTAATATTCTCCTTTTGCAGGCAGTTAGTCATGAATTTAGTCCGTCACATAGTAGGTGGCAGAAAGCCAATTTCAGAGGCCCTTGTAAGAGTTCCTGTAGCCTCTTGGAGGAAGAATCAAGCAGTTGGAACACAAACCTATTTCTGGTGTCTGGGTGTTTTGAAGGAGTCAGTTGGCACCACACAGATGAAATACCTTCGCCCATCCGCCATTCCAGTTTTGGTGACATCATCCTGTCACCAAATTGCTGATCTGCTTGTCATCAGGTGATTTTTTTTTTTTAATTTAAGAGAGACAGACATCTGCTTTTGCACCACATGCAAGACAAGTGTACCCCCAGGGCTTGGACAGAACAGAATGCATATAATGGGCATTACTCTCTACATCTGCTCCTCCTTTCATATATACATTATTTGTGTCCCAATAGCCTTCAAATAAGATCAGGACTCTTGTAAGTGAGATACTATACATTCTTAGAGACAGTCCTTACTTGCAGTCTCCACAGGCTAAACAGGCAAAGGGTGAGAGAAAGAAAGGTTTTATGGTCCCATTTTATAAATGAGGAACTGACTCTAAGAGAAATTAAGTGACTTGGTCCACATCACACAGAAATCAGGGTCTTAGAGACTTGTTTCCCTAGTCCAGTGCCTTAACTATAAAAATCAGCCTTCCTCTTACTTCACAGACTGACAAAAAGCCAATTCTCTCAAGATTTTACTAAAGTAGGAAGCAGAAGCAAAAATCACAGACTTTCTGGTGTCTGAGGGCAACTGAAGTTTCAAAGCAAGTACTAATGATGAAGAATTAGACTGACTTATAGTCCTGATATCCTGCAACTCCAGCAGATCAACATCTGAGTTTCTTCTTTTCTTGCTTGCATTCCCTTATCTGAAGACTGAGTTGAAACAAAGTGCACATAATTCAAGTGTCTGTGTGTTCCAGACATCTGACATTTGTACACCCTCTACCTGTAACTACCAAAAACCCAAGATCAATTAATTCTACTGCTGACAGTGCCAAAAGGAGGAGTTCCTATGCTTCAGGAAAGGAGATGGAAAGAAACATACTTGGGGATTTTAAAACCACACACATCTAAATTCCTGAAAGGTCCTAAAGCTACACTATTTCTTGTGTTAAATTAAATGAAAATTACATATACATGGCAACAGACTATACAGCTTTCCAGTCTTTCATAGTCACACTCTTATAAGGGAAAAGTAATGTGGATAACTCCTGTCTATGCATTACTTCATAATAATACACAATTATCAGCAAATCAAATGAGTCATTTACTTAACCTATTTTTCAATTAATACGGCTTTTTAAAAAAATATTTTTTTCCTGCTCCAGTGCAGAAACAGGCCTTTTGACTGCAGGTGCACTTTGACTTGCCAGCAGCTTTAAAGAGAAAAATATTACTCCTGGCAGGCTTCTAGAGGAACAAACTGATCACAGCTAGTGTCAGCTGACAACTTTGAAAACTAGTGGAAGTAGACACAAAATATACATAAATCCTTTCAGTGCTGAGTTAACTAAAAGTCCTGGAATAAGATTGGCCAAGGCAACTGGAAGAAGCCAGCAGTGATTACTTCTAACACATTAGCTAACCAATTGAATATTTACCAGAAGTTAGGTTACATATTAACTACAGAAATTGTTTTAATGACATTCAGATTGAGGAGAACAGCAGGTCCCAAATGGTAAACTGGGCACCTGCAAGAGACCTAGGCAGAATTTTAGTGTCTGAATGACAAAAAGTATATCCCAGGAATCCACATCCTGCCTCTCCCACCTCTTCTGCTCCCACTGAATGCACTACTCATTAAGCTACAGAGCCTCCTTTTAGCCCCAGGCCTTTTGCTTTTTTCTCTACTCAATGGAGAATATCCCCACCCAGTCTATATTATGATTTAATGTTTAGAGCATGCCCTGGGGAGATAGGAAATGTGACTTTTAATTGATTCAGGATGAGGCAGGTATAAGTCAGGTCTCTCTGAGCACGTCCCAGATGAGCATTCTAATCTCTTAGGTGGCAGTAGCGGCACTATCATCACTGCTACCATGTTCTTCTCAGTAGACACCTACCCCAAAAAGAAGATGCAGTGTTCTGGATCCCGCATGAATAGAGGCACTTAATGTGTGACCCGGTGTCAAGTGTGCCAGCTCCAGAGCGGGGAGGGAGTTTAGACATACCCCTGTGCTTAGTGTTTCCTTTTGATTAGTTCTAGATGGTTTTCCATTCAGGAACTAGTGCCTGTGAATCCCCTTTGGAACCGTCTAGCCCTCCCCCTATAAGTATAGAAGCCCTAAGTGCCCAATCTTGGTTTTTTGGACCAGCCCGCTTGTAATATTTAGGTGTTGAGATGCCTAAGACAGATACCTAAATGAGCCGCCTAATGGCCAATCTAGCTTTTGCTTTAAGAGAGAAATATTTGTTATTGTATTTAGATTTATTACTTTTATAAGGTAGCACAAGTTGTTTGCAGATGTTTAAAAAAAAGGCGCTTTACTTTAAACTCAGAGCATTCCCACGCCAAGCCTAGCACATGTCCATAAGAGGCAGCGTGTTAGTTGAACCCGGCTCACCTAACATCTGTATAGATGGAGTTTTTTTAGATCAGATACAGCAAAGAGCTGCACAGGATCACTGAAATACTCCAGCTGACTGCTGCTGCAGCTTTTATTTTTAAAGGGCGCCACTTCTCCAATTAGCTGCAAAGAACTGCTGCTGTACTCTAGCTGAGTGGAGAAGCTGCACCCCTTGAAGCAGAACTGGCAGAAATTAGCTGTGCAGCCTGTCCTACACACAACAACCCATTGTGAACAACCTGAATACAAATCATTTGGGTTCCACCATAATTCAAAAATTCTCAAATACTCCACTGTACCAACTACCTACCCACTGGTCAGAGGATGGGAAAACAAACATATAACAGATGTCATATAGTAGATGTTAGTCACCCTGCTTAATGTATAATCAACTTAGGCAGAAAAGACTAGTACAAATAGATTTTCCAATGAGAGTGCAATACCTAAACAATGAAGGAGAGGAACAACCCACACAATAAAAATATTTTTAAAACAAATATTGACTTAGCTAAGAGTCTGTTTATTATTAATTGGTTAATTTCTTGTGACACTGTAGTAGCTCTGTGTCCTGAGGGAAGAGTTGAGCATATATTGGAATGGTATTATTGAACGGCAGGCACTAATGTTAATAATAGACTGTCTTTCCCAGCTTGCTGCCTAACTTACTTACTATTTGCCACAACATGCACCAAAGTCAGACGGCCCATAGCAGAATTTAGAGTCATGTCATATTTTCCCTTCCCTCATTCTAGGAAGGCTGGATACAGTGGCATAACTGGTGGGGCTGGGAGGGAGGGGTTACGGATGGGGACAATAGGGACAACCACCCCAGGTGCTAACTTGTGGGATGTGGGGAGCGCGGTGGCAAGCAGCTGCTGCTGGCAGCCACATGTTTGCATTGGCAACCAGAAGTCACCGCTTCCGCTTTCCATTGGGCACCTGGTTGCATCCCTACACTAGTGGTTGGACCTGCTATACTACTGCACTTCTGATGAATCAGGGAGGTGAAGCATAAGTAAGCAGGAAGGCAGCAACGGCCAGACTTGAGAGGCAAGCTGATGGGGAACCCTGACCTAAAGGATGGGAGAGTAATTGTAAAATGGCAATTGGTGGTGCCAGAAAAGAGTGGAAGCAATGCTGGGCAGGAGCGAGGTGCACGGGGAATGGATGGAAGGCTATGTCAAGAAGGATAAGAAAGAAACAGGGATATTCCCAGAGGCAATTTGTTCAATTTCTTACCTTCAGGATGCTGGGGTTGTCCCCAGCCAGTAGTGGTATGGGCACAGAAGTCTACATGGAGACCTCTTTTTCCTCCAGGCTTTGGCTTAGCACATAGCTGGAGCATGTCTATTGAAAACAGAACTCTCCACTGTGGAAGAGAAAGAGGCAGGCAGAAAATAACTGCACTGAGCATGCTCCAACTAGGTGCTAAGGAGAAGACAACATAACTACTACATTTCTAATAAAATGGTCATTTCTGTGGCCACAAGATGGGTTTCTTTAGCAGCTGTTCAAAAAAGGAAATCCTGTGGCCAACTCAACAGTTGAGGTTTCATGGAATTGGCAGGATCTGGATATATATTGTTAGCAAGAACACACTGCATTTTACATTTAACAAGGAAAATCAAAATGCACAATGCTATATGTATATCACATGCTCAAGGTAATGTGAAAACAGCTTTAAGTTTCAGAATTTCTTGTATTTCAAATAATCCCATCAATATGAATTTTTAAAAAAAACTATCTCCTTATTCCTTAGGAATAAAAAGGTCTGAGTTGTTCAGCTCATGGCACTTATCAGTTCTACAGTCTCCAGCAAAGAACATATGTAACATAATGCTTAACTCTTTATCCTCATGGCCTCCAATATCTTTATATCAGAGCTCCTCAACTAAACAGCCTTAGGTACTGCAAAAGACATAACTGCAGGCTCAGGTTTTTCAGACAACCCTAAGGGAGTTAGACACCTAAATCTCATTGAAATTCATTGGAATTTGGATGCCTGACTTTTTTTCCTCTGAAAATCTCAGTTTCAAGCCATTCTAACATAAGAGTGGGTTAAGCTCTTCAAGGCCTTGGAATGTTTTAAATGACATCAGAGACGGTAAAATATATAGTAAAACATTACCTTCTCTCTACATACTGAAAGGACACATGGCCAATGGCAGTCACTGAGCCTCCTTGACCTACTGTCAAATGGGACTGAAAATGGGTTAGCCTGCACTACAGAAAGTGCAGTTTACCCATAGCAAAGTGTACTTAACTCATAATTTACTCAGAGTGAGCCAGGCTGTCTGTGCCTAGAACAGTAATACCCATCACTGTTATGTCATCTCTGTAACCCAGGCTGGTTCTGGTATTTCAGTGAGAATTGTCATTTCACTTATTCTTCCCAGCAATAAAACCCTCTCTGTTGACATACTTGATCACATTCTAAATGGTGTTTGGCAACAGAAAGCATGAGAAAAGCTGGAAACTTCTCAGGCTATATTATGTTCCAGAAAATTATAGGTTTTGTTTCCATACTCCCATGTCAAATTACTATAACAGTATTTGGTAAATGACACAGCTTACCAGTACAGCTTTTTAAAATTTGGCTCCTGTCTGAAAGTCCCTGGGTTCTCTAATGAATTTAAATGCAAAGGAGCATTTCCTTAGGTGTCAAACTAGGCTAGCATACAAGATGTGGCAGTTATTAATTGTATTTACTATTTACACACAAGGGTAGATGTATACATGGAGAGGCATGGGGAACACTCACTTTCTGGGTGGTCTGGGAAGTCTGTCCTTGTTGTCCCTCTTCTGCTGTGCATTGTTCTGTCTTTTGTGACACAGCTGAACATACTTCAAAATCGGTATGTCCCAAATCCTGCAAATACTGGTAAAGAGGAGAGTTCTGAAAGAGAGTTAGAAAAGAAAGTCAGGATGAATTTTTTCCTATTCACTTGCAAGAAACAACCATCATGATTACAGTGTGCCTACCCTACAACATACAGTTAAACCTCTGTGAATTGCACCACTGAAATATTTCCCCCCCCCCCCCCCCCCCCCCCCCCTCAGGATCACTACCCTCAAATTAAATTAGGAGTTGGGTGTAAGAGATAGATATCCTATAAAATGAGTGTCCTATATCCTATAAAATACTAACACTTTAGTATTTAGTAGAACTTTTCTAATTTAAATACTTTAATATTTGCACAAATACTCACAAAAGTATCTGTTTTCTCTAACACTTGAAGATTGTTTGCAATGAGCTGTAGAGAGGTCCGACTTTATACATGCACACACAAAACTATTGAAGCAACAGGCAACAAGAATAAGCACCATATTGCATAATATTTACTTGCCAATTCATAAATTCATTCATTTGTAATGGCAGACAAGGTTCTTTGGGTAAATCTGATATCTTTTATTAGACCAACTTAAGTAGTTGGGGAAAAAATTTTAGGCAAACTTTTGGGTTTCAAAACCCTTCTTCAGGCTGAGGAAGTTTCTGCAGTTAGTGTGTGCTCTTCATTTGTAATGTGTTTTCCATGCATCATTGGCAAATTAGTGAATTTCACCTATATGCCTGTGTATTTTTATACATGCAGAAAATAGATTACGATGTAACAAAAGGCTATTTGTACAGTATGAGTTTCAAGTCAAAAGGAGTCTACACTACTAAGTGCTTATTCCTGCTCTGTGGAAAGAAAAATATGCAAGCAGATTTATGGGATGGTACATAACCATATAAAAAGAGAATGAGAATTTTTTTTGAACTTAGCCATTTAAGCTCATCCAACCATTAAATTATGAGTCCTACATGTGAATCAGAATGTCAATCAGCTTGACAGAATATGGCAGAAAAGCCATATTTTTACATCAAAATGTGCCTGTGTGAATAATTTCTCTCTCTCTTCCACAACTCACAAGGAGATAGGTATTAGATAGGGTTGGGTAGCAGTATGAGAGACTGATGGGAACCAAGCACATGGTCAATTAATTTCTGTAACAGTTATGTTTTTCATGGGGTGATTTAATCAGGGGGAACAGGTGAGTGTTTATTTCTGCAAGTGTCCTCAAAGTATCGTCTCCATCTAAAACAAAACCCAAACCAAATACTTTCTAAGCATAAATGAATGAATTAAACTGCGTAACAATTTTACAGAACAGGAATATATTATCAAGCAAGAGACTGAAGTAGAGAAAGGCTGACTTCTAAGCCACATGGAACAGCTGTGGCAGAACCAGGAATATAATTTAGATTGCTTATCTTTCAACCCTGTACTTCACTACAAAGTGAAACAAAGCCAAGTTTCCTCAAGTGTCCCTGCAGGGTCTTAGCGCTTCTGGCCAAAAAACCCAAAACAATTATTTAAAACTATTTAAAGAAACAGTTATGAGTTGTTAAACATGCTGATTTCTCTTAAAGAAATAAGATTTCTATTTCTATGAAAAATTCATAGAAATATTTCTATGAAAAATCTGCAGCTAAGCAGGCTAGACCAGGGGTGTCAAAGTCATCTCAGGTTGGAACTAGACCACAGGGGCTCTTCATGGGCTGGATTGGTGGGGCAAGCAGTGATGGCGCTGGGGTCACATACAGATGGTAGTATGGGTTCAGGGCTGAGCTGCAATGCGAGTCTGGGGGCCGGCGGCAGTTGAGGGCCACATTTGGGCAGCAGCATGGGAATCTGGCCAGGTATCAGCATGGAGCTGTGGACACATAGTGGTACAGGGCTTGGGCTGGACAGCAGGTAGAGCTGCAGGTGTGTGGGGGTATGGTGCTCTTGTTGAGCAACAGCATGGAGCGGGAGTGTGCTGTAGTGCAGGGCTTAGATTGGGCTGCAGAGCAGGAGGCATACAGTGGTACAGGGCTGTGTCCAGATAGCAGTTCAGGTCTGGAGAAGTGCGGCAGCAGCAGGCTGCATTTGGGCAGCAACGCAGAGCTGGAGGGCTGCTGCTGCTGGCCACGTTCACAAGGGTCCGGGGCCCCGAGTTCTGTGGTAGGCCATACCCAATTTCCAGTAGTCCATCAGACTACTGGGGGGCCAGATGAAACAGTTCTGCAGGCCATATATATGGTACCCTTGGCCTAGATAGTTCAAGACAGTCCATTATACAATCATAGAATCATAGAAAATTAGGGTTGGAAGAGACCTCAGGAGGTCATCTAGTTCAACCCCTTGCTCAAAGCAGGACTATTCCCAAGGCTTTGTCAAGCTGGGCCTTAAAAATCTCTAAGGATGGAGATTCCACCACCTCTCTAAGTAACCCCTTCCATTGCTTCACCACCCTGCTAGTAAGAAAGTTTTCCTAATATTCAACTTAAACTTTGCTTGCTGCAACTTGAGGCTATTGCTCCTTGTTCTGCCATCTGCCACCACTGAGAACAGTCTAGCTCCATCCTCTTTGGATCCCCCCTTCGGGTAGCTGAAGGCTGCTATCAAATCCCCCCCCGGGTCTTCTCTTCTTCTGCAGACTAAATAAGCCCAGTTCCCTCAGGCTCTCCTCACAAGCCACGTGCCGAGCCCCTGAACCATTTTGTTGCCTTCCGCTGGACTCTCTCCAACTTGTCCACATCCTGTCTGTAGTATAGGACCCAAAACTAGACACAGTACTCCAGATGTGGCCTCACAAGTGCTGAACAGTGGAGATTAATTACTTCCTTCAAGCTGCTGGCAATGCTCCTTCTAATGTAGCCCAGTATGCTGTTAGCCTTCTTGGCAACAAGAGCACACTGCTGACTCATAATTCATTTGGGACTCTAAAAAAAAATAAGAGCACATCTGTATCATCTATACCATAAAACTAGATGACTTCTTATTTGCTTGCTAATATTCCCTATTTAGCAATTAAAATGGTCAGTACAAACAAGTAAACTCCTGTACAAACTGAAATGAATTCTGTTAAGTAATGCTGAACACAAAGAAAAGCTGTCAGTGAAATAGTGAAGTTAGTGTGGCTAATAATACTTTACACCACTCCCTCTTTTGCAGAAAGTCATGAATTATTGCCCCTTCTCAACATTTATGAATTAGGAAATCTCTATATTGGCTAATAATCCTTTATGCTTATAGTGGCCATGTGGGTAGAGGACGCATTTCTTTAGAGACACACATGTAAACTAAATAAAATACTTCAAATCTTTGCCTTAATATTTAAGATTTTTAACATTCACCTTTTATTAATAAAAATATACCAATGGAGAGGGTGAGTATATGGCTATATGACCAACACTTGATTGTATGACAAACACTTGATAGGGATGGTTTAATCAGGGATGATCCTGCCTTGAGCAAGAGGTTGGACTAGATGCCTTCCTGAGGTCCCTTCCAGCCTGACTTTCTTTCCTATGATTCTATGACCCAAGACCATTCTTCCAGAGTGAGTAATCTTAACACCTCTGAATTAGAAATACCCATCTTCACAGGTATATGAGAACATGAAATCTCCTGGATTTCAGTTAGGCACGTTTCAATATGAAAGAAAACTAAAATTTCATTGCCCTGATCTTCAAACTCATCAGCACAATTGTTCTTTATCCCTATCTGAGACAGTTTGAGAAAAAAGGAAATGTATAGTACCCAAGACTTCATTAGACCTAAACCTGCCTTGGGTTCTTCTCAATATACTACTCTAAAAGAAAAGTAATTTTGGATTAATTACCTAGGCTAGCAATATTCATCACTCTCTACATGAGATACAGGAAACTGACCCAAGCTGCAATTAAATATTTAAAATAAACGGTCATATAAAATGCTACTAACTACTACTAACATGATTATAACAATTCAAGTTAAGAAGAACAAGATCAAAATACTGTTACCACAATAGGTAGATTGGTGACATTTACCAAAAATGTAATTCAACCACTGTTTCTAAACCAACTGCTCAGTCAGTTGTGGTTATACAGCACAGTTCCATAACCTAGTGGGTACTATAACTTTTACATCAATTTCTCAAGTATTGCCTTGATCATTGCAACAATTTAAAATCATAACAAATGCATATTGTGGCATGCTACTCTTGAATTATTCTCAGCACTGACTCACTGTTCATTCACTACCTGAAACTCAAACATGCTTTCCAACAGACCATTCTAAGCCATCTTAACTCAAAGCACTGGGCACACAACCCCCTTCATTCATAATGATCAACCACTCTGGAACAGACTAATGATTTAGCTTTTCACAGGAAACTGTCCAGGAAGACAGCTCACTCACACTGTTATTCAAGCATTCTTCCCTTGAAAGTAGGGTACAGCTTCAAATGCAGGTAAGTCTGGAATGTCTCATTAATCACTGTCATGGGTCATAGACTGGGTGTTAGTAAAGCACATTCTCTTCCCACAAGAAGCATTTAAATTAAAAGGAAAGAGAAAATACAACAAAGTAAAGTATGATCTTTCATAATTTTTAACAATGTTAAATTGCTTAAATAACATCCTATAACATGGGCAGGCAACTATTTTGGGCAGAAGGCCGCTTACTGAGTTTTGGCAAGCCATCGAGGGCTGCATGATGGACAGCCAGGGGCAGATAAATATTGATTTTCTAAATGTTTTAGGGGCCCTGTGGGCCAGATAGAATGGCCTGGCGGGCCACATTTTGCCCACCCCTGTCCTATAAGCATTAACATTTGGAAGAGAAATAGTTAAACTTAACCTTAGGGCTCTTCTTCACGATCCTCCAGCTTACCCTTAATATAGCTAATATCTCTACCCGCTAGGGCCCCTAACAGGACACAGACATTTCAGCCAGAGCTGGTCAGGAATTTTCATCCATGAATTAGGAATGATTTGTCAAATCTAAAATGTATTGCTTAAAAAAATCTCAGGGCTGACAACTTTCACTGAATCCAAGGCTGGATCCAAGGGTAGCAAAACTTGGTGGGTCTGCTCCAGAGAGAGAGAGAGAGAGAGAGAGAGTGAGTGTGTGTGGCAGGGGGCGGGAGGAGGAGAAGCTCCTGATCTATGGTAAAGAAGCAGGCACACCAGTTGAGTCTGCCCAGGAGTCCTTTGGAGTTGCTCAGTAAAACTGATATCACTGAAGTGTTGTTAACAGAAGTAAAACTGGTGACAATTTCACTAAGTAGCCACAATTAGAGAGCTTCCAGCTTCCCAAAAATTGCAAAGTATTATGGCTTTAGTTTAGTGGTAGCTGACCTTTTAGCCCCACAGGCCAGATATATGCTAGGCAGGGCTGGTCTGTGGGTTGGATTGGGCCCTACACTGCATCTGCCTGGCCCACATCCCTGGATCAGGCCCCAAGCAGCTTCAGCTGGCCACCATGTGCCAGGTCTGAGCCCTGCACTGCCTCCGTACAGGCCTACTGGCCAGGACTGAGTTTCCAATCCAGCGCACAGGGCAACAATATCTGGCCTATTGGGCTCCCCAGAGGTCCACTGCTTCCCTGCTGCCACATTTTTGGATTAATGGGGAACCCTGCAGGCCAGATGACATGCAGCTAGGAGCCAAAAGTGGCCTGTAGGCTGGGGGTTTGTGCATGCCTGTTTCAGTTCAATCTAACCCAAAAACAGATTAAAAAATGAATTTTTTGGTGAACAAGAAATTCAATCCAATTTTTAGCCAGCTCTAACCATCTTTTTGAGTAATCTTGTTTCAAACAGGGCTACCACAACACCATTCCTGTTTCCTCTATGCACTGCCAATCTGCATAAGCAATTTTTCAACTACCATCCCAAGGTATGCATATCCCTGCCTAAGTGGCCCGTGTGGTCTATAGTCTTCATTACACTGCACAGAGGTATGGTTAGCCAAACCTATCTACATGTACCACTACAAATAATACTGCACAAGCTGGTAAAGGTCAATTACGTCCTATTTCCATCATAGATTACTATTATCTGTAGTTCTGTGATACTATGGTAAATGCAAGCTGCTGGAATCTTGTTTACCTGGTCACTCTCAATGATAGCACCAAACTGGCTGTTAAATTTCTCTAGTGTAGACATGGCTACAGTAAAGGAACTTAGGGTGGGAATGAATAAATGAACTGAAGGGAAACAACTCAATTTTAATTTAATTGATCCAAATCTATGAATTAATCAAGTTTTCAGTGTAAAAAACAAGGCTGCAATCTGCTTATATTTGCAGGAAGTGGGGATATTCTTCACAGCTGTGTAGAATCATTTCAGAAATGCACAGAGTAAAATGGAATGATCTTGTGGTCAGGCAGTTTAAAATCTGAGAAGATGGTCTGATACTTTTTGGAGTAGTTGGCATTGCCGCAAAAAAGGAGGAAAGCAAGGCAAAGTGGTCAACTGCATAAAAATGTTGTCTACGTAGCTTCCATATGTCCTATTCATAAAGAAAGAACTAGGTAAGGTACTGCCTGTACACAGGGGTGGATCCAGGATTTTATAAAGGTTGTGTGGGAGCAGTGAGTGGTGCTGCACCCCCTGCTCCCAGCCTCCCCTCACTCCTGAGCAGGCAGACCACATCACAGGAACAGCAGCCAGGATCTTTTTCTAAATCCCTCAATCAGGTAACCATCTTCCCTCCCCCCTCCCTTCCCCTCCATGCACAGCAGCATTTCCCCGCCCCTCCCATCCCCCTGCTCTCCTGTCAGCTACTGCTGCTGCCCCCAACCCATCCAGAGGCAAGAAGAGGAGGAAGGAGGCTCCAGAGCCATTCCTGTCCTGCTCCAGCTGGACTGCACATGGAGCCAGGGTTGGCAAGAGACAACAGTGGAGGCAGCGGGTGGATTCTCTGCCACCGCGTGCCTGCTCCCTGGACTGGCAGGGAACACCCAGGGGGACTAGACAGGGAGGAGGAACTCACCCACCACTGCTGCTGTCTCCAGCTGAACCCAACTCCCTAAGGAGCATGGCGGGAGCAGCTCTGGAGCATCCCCCAACCCCTGCCCCGCAGCAGCCAGAGACAGTAGCAGCGGTGAGCAGGGAGAAGAGAAGTGAAAAGAAGGGGAGAACCAGTGCTGCTGAGCATTGAACAGAAGGGAAAAAGGAATTCTTACCCAATTCGGGAACTTAAAAGAAGCCTCCGGCTGCTGCTCCTGCTGTGTCAACTGAATGGAGGAGGTGTGTCCATGCTACTCCACCCCCTCTGGATACACCCTTGGCTACATATTTAAATTACAAGGTACTACATAAAGGGTAAGTGAATACTTGAATTTTTCCTTTGTACTAGTTTTCTGCAACATCAGAACCTTGTAACTACGTTAAAATAATATATTTTCCTGTACAATCATCTTGCTTTTGATAAAAATAAAATTATCATTTTGAATTTTAATGAGACTTTGGCTTCTAAATACATAAGTTATTTCTGAAAATTCAGTCAACTATTATGTTTTGTTATTGTAAGCGGTATAAAATGTAGCTCTCATCTTTGCATGGCATTTCATAAAAAATCCTTTTGCTGCACCTCTTGAAGGTTCTCTAACACCGTGAGTGCGTCTACACGTGTGCTTTATTATGGGGTTGACTAATTAGCTCTGCAACAAAGCATCACTGTTTACACATGTGCAGGTATTAGGGTGCAGTACATTAACTAATTCTGCTGTAAGATCATACTGTCGAGGACAGTACGATCTTATGGCAGAGTCATTAAGTGCACTGCAATGTACATGTAGACAGGGGCTGGCTGAGTGACACTGACTGGCTGAGGCACAATGGTTTTAAAGTGAAGGGGCTGCCTGCTGCCTAGCCCCGCTCTGCCGTACCCTTGTGCCCCAGCCGGGCCGTCCACTGCTCAACAGCGCCACCCAGCACCTGGAGCTGACTTCCCTGCATCCCCTGCCAATCTGGGGCTGCTCTGTGTAAACACTGTGCCCAGAAGCAGTTGACTCTGGAATGAACTATGCTGGATTTTATTGCTCCGCCTTGATTTCATGGGTAGATGCACCCAGTGTTTCCATTATCGGTGGATCTGTTAGTTTTTATTTGGACACCCAGAAGCTACCTAAAAGCTAAGCAGTTCCATACGTAAAAACAATTTTGCACCACTCTATAGTAACATCAAAAAGTAACAGGCTGTGTGAAATCACGAGCACCCAAAAGGCACGCAGCTGAGGCCTCTGGGAAAAAGTGTGGGACCAATCCTAATTAGTTAATACAAGCTCACCAAAGAACCTCTTTTGCTATAACAGAGTTCTCTCAACCACAACACGGATGACAAAAACATCCAGTTTCTCATTTGTACCATTTCAAAATGACAAAATCGTGCTATGAGAAATAGTACTGATGGCACATTAGTTTATAGAAAAATATATGACCTAGATAATGCCTTAGCTTTAATAATACTGACCAAACCATCACTTGGACAGTTATATGGTTTGTATAAAAATCTTCAGGGATTTATATAGCAGTGTATAGAAAATTCCTCCTATGCTGATACATTTGCACTAGATAACAGCTAGAAAATCCAGTAAATAAATTATAAGTCAAGGCGCACCAATACAATCGGTGACTGGCACCAATATAAGGAAAATTGACTGTATCAGCAATCAGCTTCTTTGGCTGATGTGGCCAATAATGCCACCAATAAATGCCTCGTGCACATGCACAGCCACAGCACAGCATGCAGGCAGCCAGGAGTGCCCAGCCACGTGAAGAGCAACTGGGTCTGGCTGGTAAGTCTGTTGTGAGGGAAGGCACAGGGGGACGGGGGGGGGCAGATTGAGGCCCCCATGGTGAGGGAGGGAGTGGGGTTGAGGCAGGGTCAGGCGCTGTACAGCCAGGGCACGGTGTGGGATGAAGCTGGGAGGGGTTGGGAGGCTATGGCAAATTTTGGGGTGGCCGCAGCCCCTGCTGTAGCCCTGCTCCCAACATCACCGCTGCCCAGCCCAGCCCCAGCTGGGAAGAGCTGGATGCCAGCCCTGGCCCCAGCCTGCCCTCGCCCCACACACAGATCCAGCAACGCATGCCCCCAAGCCCTCAGCAGGATCCACCCCCGCACCCTCCCGCACTCCTTGGATGAGCCATGGCTCCATCCTGCACCCCACCTCAGCTATGCACTGCCTGCCCCTGCCCCAGCCCAACTCCCTCCCTCACTGCGGGGCCTCAATCTGCCCCCCCACACCCCTTCCCTCCCCTCTTGCCCCTTCCCCCACAACAGACTTACCAGCTGGATGCTGCTCTCCATGCTGCCCGGCTGCATATTGGAATCAGATCAGTATCAGCCAATATACCTCGTTAAAAATCAGTCATTGGTATCGGAGCAAAAATTCTCTATCGGTGCTCCCCTGATTATAAGGCTAAGGAACAGATCTCCAGTGTGGGAACATCCATGCAAAGCTTTCAGCATGATGACTAAAAAACTCCAAGAGCTATTAATTATACAACTTCACAATTAGAATGTGATCCCACTAAAAAACATCTTTGCTACCCAATTACATCAATTATATTCCTGTAAGGGAGAGATAAATGTTTTCCCTTAATTACTTACATAGCACTTTTCACTTGTATGTAGATACTAAAAGCAGTAATTAAACTTCACAGTACTTCACTGTGAATTAGACCTCAGAAATTCTTGTTCAGACCTCCAACCACCACCTCTCACTCATTTAATTTTATTGAAGAGAGAAAAACAAAGTTTACACACACACACATGCACACATGCAGGTATGCATGTGCATTCTGGAAAAGGAGTAGGGAGTCTGTTTCTATGCTTCTAGTGTTTTCCCTTACAATTGCTATGCTTAAATAAAATATCTTGCAGTTGGTCCAAAATTCTTAGGCATGTGGTCTAATGAAGAATGCCCTGCATTCAAAAGGTTGTCTAACTTTATCCCAACCATGCAGTTGGTCCAATAAAAGATAACACCTGCAAAAATCCTTGCCTCACATAATTTTTGGACCATTATGATTACAGTGCCACTCCAACACTATGTTTAACAAGTGGCAATTATGAACATTTAATAGGATTTTTGGATAACAGCATTCTTCATGTCAGTCTGCCAGATAATGGGGCGAGACATTTGTGTTGAATGGGGCAATTTAGCAGAGAAATATAAAATTAACATTATAAAAAACATTTCTTATGGCTAACACACCCTTAGATTATCAAAAAAGAAAGTATTTTAAAAATATCTTATTTTTTGATAATTAAACTGTTCATTTTTGGTATTTCTCTCAGCCATGGTCAAAGGTAAAGTAAAAATGTCAAGGCAGGTACATGATCAAGTCGTCACTTGATCTTTAGTCATCATCATTTAAGCCTCCTCTGTTTTATTTATCTATTACCAAAGATAGCAGGATGAAACAATTCTTGGTTAAGAAACAACTGGAGAAATAAATTTTAATTATTCACTTGATACATTACAGTTGCCACACCAACACTAGTGCCCGATGGAAGTATGTACAAAGTAAGGTATTATTTAGTGAGTACAGCTACCATAACAGGATCCTTAAATATGCAGTTCCTAGATTACTTACTGATACTATCTACTCACCTGCTCCTTCCCTATTCCCCAAAACTAAGGGAAACATTATTTTTATACTTATTTTATGAATAATCAATCTTCTAACTCTCACTTCATGTCAATTTTCTGTGAGTATACATTCTATAAGTATGAGAGACAAGTATTACACCAGTGATTATCAACCAGGTGTACTATTAGCATTGTTAGGTATCCAAACACCTACACTTGATTTATAAGATAAACCCAGGGATTTTGAATAGGAATCCACAGTGTCAAAAATCATTCTAACCTGCTGTGGGCTTTCTGAAGACTTTGAAACAGAAGAATTGCTATATTATTTTTCCATAGTCAAAGAATGAGTGAAAGCTAAGAGCTGGCATTTTTGGAGGGCTGCCTTGAGTCTATCAAAGTGTGCCTTGAGTCCAAAAAGGTTGAGAACCACTGTATTGCACACAATTATTTCTGTGCTGATTGTACTGGAAACTCAAAATAATTCAAAGATTACCAAAAGACTAAACTTTATCTTTCTGGGATGCAAACAGACATAACCCTCACAGACGGGGAAGAAAGCGG